TGGTTCAATTATTCCTAGAGATGCGTTCGACACTCCATCTAAAGAAGAAAAACAAAAATAATTATACTATGCAACAAAAAATACAAATTATGAAAAAAAACAATAGTATACGACACAAGGAACCAGAGTACGACATTCTCTTCCGCGTGTAATAGTATATTACACACCAAGGGAGCAAAGTACGGCATTCCCTCCCGAGCCGAAGGTGAGGGTGGCAAACACCCAGGAGATGATGCCCTACTTTGTCCCTGAGGCCCGTATACGATTTTTTCTCTTTCTCCGCTGAAAATACGACGTTTTTCTCTGATTTGAGGGAGAAAAGTGCAACATAACATCTCAGGTAAAAATCGCATTTACTGCTTATTAGGGAAAGTATTTTGGCATCCTCTGCGAGTAAATTGCCTCCCGAGCCGTAGGCGAGGGTGGCAACCACGCAGAGGATGGTACAATACTTTTCCTATGAGCAGTACATGCGATTTTTTATCTGGGAGGAATAGGGCATTTTGCTCCTCGAAATCAGGGAACAAAGTCTTACTTTCGGTGGGGGTATGAGAAAAATGATCTCCTAAGCCGAAGGCGAGTGAGGCAAACACCCGAAAGTCTATGGATATACTTTTGTCCCGTTTGACGTATACAATGTTTCATCTGCCTTCGTCGAATGTTGACGTTTTTTTCATTACTCCAGGGTCAAGAGTGCAACATAACCTAGCAGGTAAAACTCGTATTCTTTGCTTATTGGAAAAGTATTTTGGCCACAACCTACGCTTGTCTACTGCTCGGGAAACAGTTTCCACGCAAATTAAGCTAAAATAATTTTCTAGAAAGCAGAGATATAACGAGTTTTTACCTAAGACGAATAAGGTTCTTTTACCCTAAAGAGAGGGAGAAAAAGTCGTCTTTCGTCGGGGTATGGTAAAAAAATGTTTTAAAAATCAAAGTTAAATACTATTATTTAAATGTGTATACCCGTAATGTAAATTTTCTTTGCTACGGAAGTGCATCCATAACTGTTGCAAGCTGTGCATCTTAATAAAATAGATCTTACTGGCCGTTCTAGTTCTACTGTTGATATTTGTGTAAAACTGTTATTTTGCAAATACATATCTACTCCCTAGAATAGTTAGAAAATTTTTATTAAGTAACATTTTTTGTTGCATTCATATTTTCAATAATTCTTAATATTCAGATAACCAAGTTATTATAACAAACCTGTAACTCATATATCTTCTGTATACTTCTTAATGGGTATTTTGGATAATTCGTGAAGGTCCAAGATATATTCGACTTAGGATTACGATTGACAAGGCAAACAAATGTGACAGTTTCATTGAAGCTGTAGTAAGATTTAAGATAGTTTTCGTCAAACACGACTGTTGGCTTACCTGCAATAAAATAGTTACTAATTTTGCGAGGATAGCAAACTTGAACAGAACGCATTTGAAATTGCATGATTATTAAGGGAACCAATGAAAAATTGTGCATTTTCAGTGACTTAGTCTTCCCAACTATGAACAAGTTTAGACTTTCTCACTCAAAGCATCACATTTACTTGATAAATTATTACTTGCTTAAAAAATAACCTGTGAGAATTTCACTTGAAACCAGCCTAACAATTACGTATGAATCAGTAGGTTTAAAGAATTAGCTGTGAGCTGAGGGATGCTCAGTTAATTTTCATTTTATAATATATTTATTAGTATCTTTAAACAGTTACAAGATGCTAAATAATTAAAGCTGAAGAATGAACTTGAAACAAATAAATAGTTCTTTTCAAATCAGCACAATAAAAAAAAAGTAAATAAAAAATAAAATGCATTTTACAGTGATGATAGACAATCAATGACATTTCCAGAGTATCCTATGTCTCCTACGATAGCGTAGCTTTTATTTTAATAATTCAAAAAAATACTTTTATATCATGTTACCTCTGTAAGTCATTTTCCCGTTCCTACAAAGTTTTTTCTGTGATGGCAATAAAATTTTTTAAGCGTAAAAACGTTATTCTTTAGCTACTTTGAGCATGATTTTACTAATTTTGTGCAATAAACATTCGATGTCCTGGCCGCAAACATAGATAACTTTTTTTACACCAATAACCCTTGGACTCTTTATACTTTCTTACCCAACGAAACATCAGATTCTAATATGCATCTATCAGATATATAACGTAAAAAAATTATTTAAATGCTAGAGTGACTGACTGCCTGGCATGACTTAAATTAACGATACTTAAGCAATTTTTTTTAAACTTATTAAACAATCATGATTTTTATTAATGCTTAATAATTTAGTTTTTAAAAATTTAAATTTTCTTACATGATTTTAATAATGTAACCAAATGTAAAACACACTGTACTTTTGTATTGTGCACTCGTTAAATTTTAATTTTCAATTATAAAAAGTAAATTAAAGTAATCACTCGCATTGCCATTTGTTACCTTTTACAAAAAACATTCGAGATTTTTCCACCATTCCAAAGTCATTTTTAGCAAGACACGAATAATTACCACCATCATTTTCTAAAAGATATCTAATGATTAATTTTTGATTACTGTCCTCAAAACCAAACTGTGATGACAAATCAAAGGTACGTCGTTTTTGAACCAAGTAATGTTAGGGGTTGGATTTCCTCCAACGTGACATGATAAAATCAAAGGATTCTGAAAATCTCTTGCTAGCACAGTTTTTTCCGTATCATTGATATTGAAATGGTAAGGTGGTACTATACAAAAAATATAATCACAAATGAAGTATAATTNGTTTTTTCATTATATAGATAAAACAATTAGAGAAGAAAAAAGAACCATAACAATTTTTTTCATTATACTCTCTACAAAATTTATCCTGAGTTTAATCATGAAACTTTGTCATATAACTGTTTAAAAACTACAAAACTCGATTTTCTGTAATTTAAGTATGTTTTTTTTTATGATTTAGTGTCTAAATACTAATTTTTAAAAAGTTTTTATGTTTTATAAAATTCACGAAAACCCTCTGAAGTTAAGTTCATTTCATTAACAAAATGATACCTAACTATTGAAAATTTAACTATATAATTCTTTATTTAAAGTAAAGTTATTGATGCACTCTATTATTCATCGTATAAGAGTACGAAATGTAATTTTGAAAAATTTACTTTCTACAATTTGGCGTGATAACTTAGAGTGTGGGTATAAGGGAGTGTTGCTGAAGTGTCCGACAGTCACTGCTCGGTTTCGCCATTTTCGAAACTAACTGGGAAAATAATAAGCTGAGCATGGATGTGTATATATATGCATATGAATCTGTATTTCCTCCTCCATAACTACTTTCACCTACGGGGTCACGAAAAGGGCGTCTTTAGCCATACTCGTTTATACCTACCTACTACAGACAACCGTGCAATCAGCGTTGCATCGGTGGCTAAAAATGCAACTATAACCTGTTACAATTACATTGTTTTAAATTTTCCTGCAAGCTTCATGGTAATTGTAATATATTTTACATTTCGTACTGTCTACATAATAAATTGTTCACTTTGATTTATTCGTTCATTTGTTGTGCTAGTGCAATCAAAAAGGACGAATAACTTGAATTATTACGAAGCCCACCATAATTTTAAAACAATAAGAATGTAACACGTTATAGTTACATTTACAACCATCAGGGGGCGCTGGTAGTTCAGTTCGGTTCAGTTGTCATGCCAAAGCCGAATAAGGTACTTGTTTCCCTAATATTTGTAATCTAAGTACGTTTTATTCAAGAATTGCTTATAACTGTTACATAATTGTAGCCTAAAGAGGCTGACATACTTATCCAGCGAAATGTTGCCGAATGAGAACTAAAAAGACAATAATGCTTTTTTGAGTTTCTTTTATTTTCTTTTTTACTCTCGACGGATAACTGATTCCTTACTCTTCTTTACGGTTACTTATTTATTCAATATTATCAACTTGTAGTCACTCATGATTAAAAATATTATATGCACTCTTGTTATTCTACTCATATTTGGACTGATGGAATAGACAAACCTAATTTCAATCTTTGTCTAAGCATCCATACGTCGACAATAAAAATTAAAAAAGCTTACCTACTTTGGTATTTATATTTATGTCTGGCTAAGAATGGCTTTAAAGTATATAGACATTTGCAACTTATATAAATTCTCAAGTCTAAAATTAAATTTTATTGCATCTTTTTTAGTGTAGTGTTGTATTTCCATGTCTTGGAAGGTTATGTACAAAGTTGTTGCAAACAAAGCAAAAAACTGTGTAACTGATAGAATTTTTTTATAGTAAACAAAATTATTCTGCCTATTTATCTATATCGGCATATTTTTTAATAAGTACCACATAACTTACTACTTTTTAAGTACAAATTTATTCAGAATTTCAAAAGTTTCCTAAAATGTTTTTTTGTTACTGACATACATTTTAGAGGAATATAGTTCTTTATAAGAGGTTACGTTAACTAATTAATCTTTCATAACATCTTCCCTGGATTGACCATAAACTGTATTTTACAAGTCCTAAAATATTTAAAAAATGTAATTGGATTTAATTTCTTAGTGATCGGGGCTTATGTTGTGGTAAAAGGAGTACTGTAACAAAAATATGGACGCGTAATCTTTCATCTATTGAAATTTAAAACTGGAACGATAGTATAAGTATTGTTTAGTTGTAATGAGTCTAGAGTTGAAATGCAAATCTTGACACAACTTTCAATATGCAGGGTAACGCTCTTAGCTTTTGACTGAGTTGGAATACAGTACTAATAATTATAAGAAGAAATCATTAAAAATAAAGAACTTTCAAATTTTTTAAAATTTGGTGTTTTGCACAGCTTAAAATATGTTGTAAATTGAATAGAAGAAAACAGCTTTTACGTACCATAAACTTCAAGATAGAACGTTGTCTCTCTTACAACTTCACCATATGTGGCCCTAAGCGTAAAAGTTTCCGGGTCACTTTTAGAGACTTTCAGTTTAGTAAGTTGGCTCACCGATTCGTTATGAAACATTCTCATGCCTCTATAATAGGGTAGAATCTTATATCCTCGTGGGTGAATCCTGAAATGTAAAATACTTTTTAGTAATACTTAAAAACATAAATTAAATTTTATGTACTAATGTAATAGAAAGAGCTAGATACATTACCACTCAAAAGTTGGTGGGGGCATGCATCAACAAGAGCCAAGAAAGTCACTGATTCACCATCCTCAGAAAATGTAATTGGATTGTAAGACGTTAAATTTATGAACGGTTTGTTAGTTTCTATAAATACAATGGTATACAAATGTACCGAATTCAATTGTTGCTTTGGAGCGACAAAAATAATGTAGCAAATGTATCAGAAACTTACGAAATAGGCAAACGTTAATATCAAAACTCTTAGTTTCTTGGAATGAAGATCTCAATTTACAAGTGTAACTACCTTTGTCTTCGTTTGTAACATTGTTTATAATAAGCTCAGACGTTATGAGATTCACTAAACCAAATTCTTCGTCTTGTTTTTCTTGAACGATGTTTAAAATTGTTCTAGAAGTCTTATTAACATAGGCACTTTATTAGTGGGGCATCGTGTTAAATATAATAAATGGAATATAGTATGAAAAATTAAAAAAAAAAAAAAAAAAAATAACGTTAAATTTAACCACGTTACTCGGAGTCTCCCAGGAGATGGTATAAAGGGCTTCTCTTCTAATTTCAACTGTACATGTTAGATTCAGTCTCGGACCTGTTAAGACAACTTTTTCACCGTCTATTCCTAAAATACTCATACATGGAGAAAACACACACTAAAATACTCATACATACATGTAGTTCAAGTCCAAGCTTGAAATTAATAAAAGGATTGTAACATATTGAATTAAGAGGATACCTGAATTTTGGATACCCTTTGTGCTTCAAGAATAGGTCTACCTTAAATACCCACAACTCGTAGCACACAACCATCCTTGTTACATGCCAGTTGGGAGCTAATATCGGGTTTTCGGTGTAATTTAACTACAGATTTAAGGGTGACGTTGTGAGTGAATGACATGCATTTTAAGATGAATCTATCTAGTGCATAGATAGTTCATTTGGTGTTTAATACATTAAATTTCTGATTTGATAGCCAATACATTAATTTGGTTGAAATTTCAGCAGCCCATGATGATGCAAATAATCAACATTCTTTGCAGAAAACAAAAAACAGGGTTTTTAACATTCTTTGCAAGTTGTGCACACGAGTTCTCGTCATATCTGGTGGAAAGTACGTTCATTATATAATATTAAGAATTTAACTGCGCTTCAGCTTATAGGTCTATGCAGCTAAGTTTCACTTTCGTCCTACACTTCAGTGCCGTCTTTGAAGATGATGAAGACTCCTGAAGCTTTGAGTTACTAAGTTGTTCTTTTCAGGGACAGGCATCAAAACATAAACAACTTTTTTTTTATGCACACATGTCAACGTACACATTACCTTGCTAGCCGATTAGACATTCAGTTTTTACTAAGATCATTAGTTTAATTTGATTACTTGTCCCTTTTTTTTCTATCTAAGTATCTGGTTCGTGTTTTATGTACTGCACTTTTTCGATTTCAGTGGAGTGAGTGCTTATGGATCCATTTGTTATTATTTTATAAACTGACCTTAACATCAAGTTATTGTATGATGAGTATAAAAATGAAGAGAAAAATTTTTCGGAACTTTGATGAAGAAGTGATATCTATTATAAATTGTGTTTTTTACAGAAATATTATCAAGAACTTTTATTATTCTTATTACGGTAAAGATTCTGAAAGATAATAATAAACGTTTAAATTATTTTAAATGCAAAAATAAACAACTATATGTATGTTTTTGTTAAGTAAATAAAAAATGTATGATGAAAAGTAGAGGTGTAGTTGTTCCATAGACTGTATTGTCTATCACAAATATTAAGGTTTTGGCATCAATATCGATACTGAAAGTATGTACTATCGACTGAGGGAAAATAAAAAATATATTATTTCAGTTTCTGACAATAAGTCATGGGATCTTTTTTTAATAGGTTGAATAAAGTAAAGTGTAACTCATCACTTATTTTGTAAGATTAAGAATAATTCAAATTTAAAAGACAGGATACAGGAAAACATGATCTGAATTTTTAATAAATCTATGTTTAAAGTATTTAACTATTCTTTTTTTGGTAGTAAAAATATAATAATAATCATAAAGTCTATGAGAAATATCAAATATTAATAATTTAAATTTGTGAAGAAACCGTCAAGTGCATGCCCCATTACCAAAAAATGTTTTGTAACGTAGTAGGTATTCTGGTTTGATCAGTTCTTACACAAAATTAATTTCTTTAAACAATACCATGACATAAAGACATTATTGATAATAAAACTATGGAAGATTTGGAGTTTGTGGATTCATGGTCAATAAATATTTTAAACGACAGACTTGGTTGTGTTTACATAACAATTATCCAGAAAAATATGTTTTTTTCTATATACGTAAAAGTTTCACATGTTGTAATTAGCTGTAAAATTAAATTGTCATAACAAGTATTCTGTTGGATAGTAACATTATTTTTAAGCATATATGTATACGACTAATGTGTATAGATAGCTTTGTTGGAGGTTTTCTCTTAGCTACAGTACACCATCTGTCGGATTGTACGATCACTTTCTTTGATTTTTTTTTCAAGTTTATGCAATTCATTTCTGAGATATTTAAGAATATCCGTGACACACATTTTTAAGATTAAGAATTTTATTTTCTGTTCGAATAGAAAATTTATAAATAGCTACTTTTGTGTTACGTTAGAAAAATACAAACCTCTGGTAAAGCAGTATGTTTAAGTTTTTAAGGATAAATTGTTAAACATTATTAAAAATAACAATTGTTTCATCAGTTTAAAAAAATTGATCGAATACCTTACATCTAAGCTATGTCTGGCAGACAGCCACTAAAGCATTTAAATATTTTTTTTACGTTGCATATCTGATCGATGCATACAAGAATTTAATTTGTTGGTAAAGGCAGTATAAAGAGTCTAAGAGTTAATTGTGTAAAAAAAGTTATCTTTGTTTCCGGCTGAGACATGAAATGTTTATTGCACAAAATTATTAAAATCATGCTTAAAGTAGCTTAAGAAAATTGTTCTCGCGTTTAAAAAATGTTATTGCCATCACATAGAAGAAACATCGTAGGAAAAGAAAAATCACTTACAGAGGTAACGTGACATAGAAGTATTTTTTGAGTTATCAAAATAGAAACTATATACGTTATCGTATGAGACATAGGATACTCTGGAAATTATATCTACCTCTATGTGTACGGGCATGTGTGTAATAAGTCATATATTAGGATTTTATCTACTCGTTTTTTAACGAACCTTATTACTTTTGTTTGTCTTTCAATGTCTATCATTACTGTAAAATGCATTTTATTTTTTATATTTTTTGTTCGATTGTGCTGATTTGAAGACCATCATTTATTTTTCTCAAGTTAATTCATCAGCTTTAGTTATTTAGCTTTTTGTAACTATTACAGGATGTTTTATGGTTAAAATCTTAAATTTTTCAAAATCTTGTATTATTATATACAAAAAATAACTGGTAATCAAATTTAAAAAAATTAGTTACGACTGATTGTCACGATTGTAAGGAAAAATATATATGCAATTAGTTATTTTTTACTTCTATTGATATATTTTAATAGGTTTGAATTTTTTTCTCGTTTTTAATTATCTTCTAGAGAATCATTAAAGATTTTTATTTTGCAATCTCCATTTTTAATTTGAGAATGTTTTTAATAAAAAGGGTGAGAGATCATAAAATTGAAATTAAGTTAACTGAAATCTTATTTATAAGTGCATTTTGTGTAAGTAGCCGTTCCTAAAATAAAGCACTTACGATAGTGTTAATAAATTTTATTTACACGTTTTGGAAAAATGAAAGGATAACGGACAAAAATACGCAAGTTTTAAAAAATATTTAACACGTGTCGCTTATTAAATAAATAAAACTTCATATTCTTAAAGATGACAAAATTCACTTTTAAAGGTGTTCACTCAAAACTGCTTTTAAAAAAGTGCTGACTCAGATTCGGATTTATGAAAGCACTTACTCAGTATAACATTTTTTCTTATACAATGTGGTGGCAGTAATATCTGTCTCATTTTTGTACGAAAGTAAAAATCGATAAAGCACAAGTTTTCGTAGAGATGAATGAATAACCTAATCATATAAACGAGCAGTTATTTATGGCAAAAAAGTTAATAGAACACACGTGAAAATCACATTTACCGTAATATGATACTCGTTTTGATTATCTCTGCCCATGCTTCTATCGTTATTTGTATACTTTTACAATTAACATGCCTGCTTATTTTCTGATAACCACCATGTCTTGTTATTTTTTTAATTTCTTATTCTCATCATTAATTTGCAAATGTAAAAAATATTTGTAACTTTCATTTTAGAGAATATCGTTTCATAAGAAATAAAATTCGTGATTACTTAAAACAAAAAAATAAATAAATAAATACATTCTTCAGGCGTGAAAACAGTAGTTCTAAGGCGAGACTTAACATAAAAGATACTATTTGCAGAATTTCATATCGTTCAAGATAAATTTTTTATCGCAAGCAATGGATTTCTGTAAATAATTCTTCTGTGCAAAGATGCTACAAATCTATTTTTTATTTAAATGATCACATAACTTTGCTTCATTTATTGATGAAACTTTTATGTAACAATTTAATGTTCTAAGCAAAAAGATTTTTCATAAAACTACTACTATGAATGTAAGTTTCATAGTAAAGAGCCAAATTTTTACTCATGGTAAATAAATTCAGATAAAAGTGAATTATGCCAAATACGTACGTATATTAAAAAGTATTGTATTTAATCTTCTTTTAATAAATTATAAAATAATCAATTAAACTCTCTAGTAGTTTAATGTGTTCCATCGTGTTTTTTTAGGTGTAGTTGTTCCATAGGCTGTATTGTCTATCACAAATATTAAGGTCTTGGCATTAATATTGATACTGAAAGTATGTACTATCGACTGAGGGAAAATAAAAAATATATTATTTCAGTTTCTGACAATAAGTCATGGGATCTTTTTTTAATAGGTTGAATAAAGTAAAGTGTAACTCATCACTTATTTTGTAAGATTAAGAATAATTCAAATTTAAAAGACAGGATACAGGAAAACATGATCTTCTGAATTTTCAATAAATCTATGTTGAAAGTATTAAACTATTCTTTTNGCCTTCGGCTCGGGCCGCAAACCTCTCGATTCGCAAACAAAGACTTTTTAAACTCATACAGTGACGTCATTCTGCACGTTTACGTAGGATGGCGTTGCGATTTGAGGGAGGGTGTTTACGTAGTTTTGTCGGATTAATGGAATCGTTATATCATCTGGTAATGATGTGGTGGATAAATTATTTTCTTTTGTTTCAAACAGGTCTTTCCTGTTAAAATTTTCGTACTCATGATAAAGTCTTAAGAAATGTGTTTTGACATTATCTTGTAAAAGTTTTCCAATGCTTTCAACCAGCATTGTGAAAGATGGTCTCAAAATCGGCTCTTCCTCCCAGCAATGTAGCATAATGTCGTAACTAAAAAAACGTAAGCAACGTAGAGTGACATTTTCATAGAAATGGACTTTATAACAAAAGTTTCATTTACATGTCTTTGGTAGCATAAATGGGCTGCCCTAATCTGTACCCCTTGATTAATTTCTTAAACATCTCCTCAAACTCTATATCTGAATAAGGTATGTCTGCGAGGGTGAAAAGTTCCCATAGAACTACACCAAATGACCACACATCCGACATAGTTGAAAATACCCCGTCTCTGATGGACTCAATGGCCATCCACTTTACAGGAAACTTTCCAACGCATTGCTTTTTGTAGTTTTCGTCTTTGTACAATGTCTTTGCCAGACCAAAATCGCATATCTTAATAATGTTATTTTCTGCCAATAATATATTTCTCGCGGCTAAGTCACAATGCAGTACCTGTGGAGAAAAAGTGGCATTTAAATACAAATTATTATTATGGAATTAAAAATTGCCGAGCACACTAAAAATCATATACACTTAGATGCTTCCCTTTTTTTTTGAAAGATATTCCATGCCGTTTGCCACCTGATAAGTCCATAACAAAAGATCCTCAGTGCAGAGGAAGACAACATCTTCATCAATGTAGTCCCCTTGGTAATTAGAACGCCACTCTGGCTGGGTGTCATTATTACTAAAATAATTGGATTCAATTGGACGAGCTTCTATGTTGTAAATGTTTGGCTTATTGCTTGGACTGCTATCGCACAAGGTCGTTCTGTGATTGTTAGAAATTTCGTGTACTGTCCTGTTGGCCCCAAGAATGTGATATGACTATTAAACTTACAATTCATAGAACACTAAAATGTTTTTCATTTGTAATATTTAGTAAGTTTTTTTTGGTAAAACAAACTTTAATCATTAACTTAGATGGATTCAATCTACTCATAGTTTAGTCAATAGATTTAAACTACTTTAATCTAACTGTACATAATTTGTAGCCTAATCTACAGATAATTTCGAGATAAATATTAAATTCCTACTTGTTTACGATTTAATTATTAAGCAAACTAAACTTGAACCAAATCAGGGTGTGAACTTAGGATAATTTAGAAAGTAGCTGAAACAAGCTTCCATTAACACAATAATTTACTAGAACCCAGTGAACTTACTAATGATATGTTCAAAACAGTACGATTTTATCAATACGTCAAACGCTCTCAATTCTGATATCTGTATTTGTGATTGTAGGTCAGGTCATACATTAAAAAGTATCGATTTATAAATAGTAAGTACACATAAAAATTTTTCTTAGGCATAAAATATTTATTTAACTGTAAAAAAATATTTTCAAATCCAAGTCTCTCTTGTATTGACAATTATAAATTAATATTTACTGTAATAAAAGAATTAACCAACGGGTACTTCCTGCAATATTTTTACTTCTTTTTTTTTTTTAATAGTTTCTTCGTTACAACTGGGTTAATTCCACAGTACCTTCTACAGGCAAAGTTACTTTAAAATCTGTGTATATTACTTACTCGTAAGACAATAATAACGTAGCATAACGTAAGATGATGTACTAACATTTAAACAATAAACTTATTGATACATTTTTGTCAGATTTTAGAAACACTTCTATTTAAACATATTTATAAATGTTTTGGTTAAATGGTTATTTAACAATGGTGACATACTTAAATGTAACTTGAAAAGAATAAAATCTGATTTTTTGTATGAAAAATTCTACAAAATACCATGAATATTCAGCTTTACAAATGAATTTCATATCTTTTCACAAAATGTAATACATATTTTCACGACATTTCATAATAAATATTTGGAATTTTTACAACAATGCACATTTGTATTAATTTTTTTTAACAATCGTATTAAAAACTATTAAAGTACGCGTGAAATTTAGTCTTTATTCAATAAAATTTTATTTGAAATTAGCAAAAATAATTGTTTAAGGTTTTAAATTTTCTGTAATCTTGTATTAATTATTTTGTAAAATAACACGAATTTTTTTATGATCATTACTAAAAAAAATTTCCTTTTGTGAACGAGTTTTATGTAGTTTCCTGAAATTTAAGTCACTTTTCCATCACTTTTTACGATAACTAATGCAATAGAATAGTACTTAGTGACAGTGAAAAATTAATAAAGAAAGACCCAACTAACCCATTACTTACAAAGATTTTCATAAATAACTTAGAATAGAAGATAACAATACACTCTTTAAAAAAATCTCCTGTTCAAGTACTGTTATATTTAAAATATGGTTTGTTGCTGGACTAAAACTAATAGCTACTAAGATCATTTTTTCATACACACTAATATCTTCTCAAAAAAAATATGCTTAAGTGTAGCAAAAAAAGTAATAACAAATTGAATTTCTTTTATTTGACTATAAAAAAATAAATGGTTAACTAATATATACATTCAGATAATATGAATAATAAACAACTACATCCTAATTTACATAGTAATGTCTCCATTTTATACCTATTTTTATCAACTTGTATCCATACCAATAAACTTAAATAATTACAAAAAAAAAATTACGAATGACAAAGCAAATATCACATGTTAACTTAAAAGAGAATAAAATGTAAATTAGCCATTAATAACTTTGTCTCTTATTCTAAAAATACCACAAAGTGTATCATATTGTGCTGCATGTGGATGGATAACTAGAGTAAAATAATTCTAACAGAATAGTACCAAAGTAACATTCAGAACTCCAACAATATATTGAAAAAGAACAGACAAAACAAAGAAAGACAACAAACAAAAATATATCATAAGTAATGTACACGTATTTTTGTCTGTTACAAATCAACTCTGTCTGAAGCAGATACTATAAAATTGAAGCAACTTTAACCGAAAAAGTTTTAAAAAAAAATTAGTGAAGACCTTCCTAAAAGGACAGGTTAATTAATTTTTCCGCCCTCGGGTGGTTTTGGGAGGCTGGTACTTCCTCGGGCGAAAAAGCAGTTTTCCGATACTCGTTCGAAAAGTCTCCTTTTCCGCCCTCGGGTAGTTTTGGGATGCTGGTACTTCCTCGGGCGAAAAAGCAGTTTTCCGATACTCGTTCGAAAAGTCTCCTTTACGAACCTCGTTACGGACCTCGCCTTCGGCTCGGGCCGCAAACCTCTCGATTCGCAAACAAAGACTTTTTAAACTCGTAGGAAAACTACTATTCTGCCCTCGGGTGGTTTTGGGAGGCTGGTACTTCCTTGGGCAAAAAAGCAGTTTTCCGATACTAGTTCGAAAAGTCTTCTTTACGAACCTCGTTACGGACCTCGCCTTCGGCTCGGGCCGCAAACCTCTCGATACGCAAACAAAGACTTTTCAAACTCGTAGAAAAACTACTATTTCGCAATAGTGTGCGGAAAATGGATGTTTTCCGCACTGTTATTAGTGTGGAAAATCGATTTTCCCACATAGTGTGCGACAAAGGTGTGCGGCAAAGTTTTTTCCGCACAGTGTGCGGAAAAGGTGTGTGGCAAAGGTTTTTGCCGCACAGTGTGCGGAAAAGGTGTGTGGAAAAGGTTTTGCCACACACCGGAAAAAATTTTGCTACACACTGGAAATCAAAATTCAAACCTATTTCGTACCTATTTTCCTCACACATTGCGAAAAAACTTGTACGCAACTCGTGCGGGACGATTTCCCGCACTCGTGTGATAGACTCGCACTCGTGGCCGGTGACGGTAACTCGTACCTTGCGATCTCACTCGTGCTACGCACTCGTGTGCTCAACTGGTACTCGTTCCCGTCAACTCCGGCACTCGTGTGAGTCAATCACTACTCGTGCGGGAAATCGTCTTTTCCGCACTTGTCACGTAAATAACTATTTTTATTATATCTCTCTGATGATATAAGAGCTTTATTTAACTATATTTTTGTACACGAACTTTAATAATAACAAAGATGCCATTTGACTTAAAATTTTAACATATAAAGCATAAAATACGTTTCATGGAAAGTGTCATTTATAAAGTTTTTTGCTCTGCTCTACTGTGTGAAGGAATGTAGGATTAATTACAAACAGACTAGTCCTTTATTGCTGTTAACAACAATAAATTCAGTGTACTTGATGTTTATGAGATTATAGATGATATAAAATAATGAATAACTGTATACCCCAAAAAATTGTAAGTCCTTACAATGAGGGAGTATCCAAAAATTGATCACCAGAGGGCAGCATGGATTTCGGCTTGCTGACGTACACTCAGTGGAACTCTGATCGGTCCCGGACCCTATTTCAGAACTATGGCGTGAAGTACTGTTCAATAATAGGGTACGGGACAGATCAGAGTTCCACTGAGTGTACCTATAGTCTATACCTATATACATGTATGCACAGTTTACAGTGGAAATGCTGGGTACAGTCACATACATGTATATAGATATAGACTATGGGTGAGTCAGCAAGCCGAGCTCCATGCTGCCCTCTGATGTTCAATTTTTTGATACTCCCTTATTCGCAAGCTCCAATTTTTAAAAATTTTCTTGTGCTTTACAAAAGTAACGATAGTAACTAGAAAAATCAATACCTTTGAATATTTTTATCTTTACGTGGATTTATTTTTCCCGTATCTAAATCAATTTGATTAATGAAACTTTTTCGATGACACAAAAGATAGCTTTGCAAGTTCCCAAATTTGCAAAACTCAACGATCACCAAAAGTTCACCTAAAATACAATGTTATTTTTTTGTCACACAAATTTTTGTACTCATAATTCTTGTTAAAGCGCAGTAAACTCTTACGTTTCGCTATATTTTTGGTACAAGCACCTAAAAGATTTATAACATTCAAATGCTGTCCTAGATAAATCATAACTTTGAGTTCCTTTGCCAGTGTACTAATATACATTAAATCTGCATTTTTGCGGACAGTTTTTACAGCCACAGTTGAAATTGACTTATCAGCAATAATTCCATTAGCTTTTGCTTTGTATACGACTCCAAAAGCTCCACTGCCCAATTTTTTTCCTTAAAATGCGTGAATAGAACGTTTTACGTATTTATAAATCACTACGATAATTATTTATATCGTTCTTTTCTGGAGAGGGGAAAAATTTATAAATTGTTACCTAATCTTAATTTCTGTCGAGAAAATTCCCATCTTCTATCATATGATAGGAGCTCTGTTTGATCATCTACAGTGACTTCTGGATTTATCAAATCAAGTGCTCCGTCTTCTGAATGTGTACAACAAGCTTCTAATAGCTGTTTTTCTTTAAACTTAAAATTATAATTCATTTGATGATAGAAGTTTTTTAAAATGTCAGGTTTTATTCTCAAAATATAAGTGTTGTATATAAATATAACTTTTTAATCACCTTCCTATGTTTGGCTTTTAAATAAAAGTGAATTAAAAGAAATGCAATGATTGTAATAAGCCACATGATCATTCCAATCCAGAGGGAAAGTTTCTGATTTCCTGGAGTAAAAATAAATTACTTTTGTTTAAATAATACTCTTTCTTATTATTTGTCGAAAATCGGTTATACGATTAGGGAATCCAACAATAATTATCCTTTTTTTAAATATAATGAAAAAAATATTTTCCATCCAAAAAAAACAATATTTAAAGGGTGACTAACATGAACTTGCCAATTTTTTGGAATAAAAACTCGATTTTCTAGCACAAAGCAAAAGTAATTCAATTTGTAAGTTGTGTATGAATAACTTTAATTTAAACTTGAATATACTTAACAAGGTTTTTTTATAATTTAAAATAGGGCAAGTCTGCCTTCTGTATTAACTGATGTAATAAGCTTATTCTAGTAAACATGTCATTTAATGAGTTTTTTTTATGGAAAGCAGAGCTCTTGTCACATGTAAAAAATTATTAATTATATTTCTTGAGTACCAAAGTACAATTATATGCATATGCAATTGTTACCTTTTACAATAATTGTTTGAGATTTTGTTACTGGCCAAAAGCCATTCTCTGCAACACACGAATAATTACCACTATCGCGTTCCAACAGGTATCTTATCATTAATTTTTGATTTCTCTCCTTAAAAGTAAACTGTTTTGATGACTTCAAAGATGTTCCATCTTTGAACCAAGTTATATTAGGTGTTGGCAGTCCTTCAAAGTAACATGATAAATAGATAGGATTTTCAGGGTCTTTCGCAAATCGTGTTATTGAAACGTCATTCATATTTCCACGAAGAAAGTAAGCTGGAACTAGAAGAGAGTATATTAAAAATAATGTTTATGATAATAAATCCGTGTAAACAAGAGCCGTCAGTTTAATAATTTTAGAAAAGTAGTTTTTTATTCATACCATTGATTTTAAGAGAATATTTCTCTGGAGATTCTGTATTAAATGAATATTGTCTGTACGATGATATTCCTATACAATAATAATCCCTTTCATCCGAATAACTTAAATTACTGATCGACAGAATAGCTCGGTAAGTATAGTTAGTTTTTTCAAACGTGACATGAATTCGATCTGAAACATTACAAGACCCAGATTAATTAAATGTAGACAAAATAAGCTACCAATAGAATTTTTATAATTTATATTATTACGTAGATTCAGAACTTACCAGAATCCATAACTTTTTTGCATGTGTCATCACGCCAATATACCTCAGAATATTCGTGAATGACAGCGTAACATATCAAAGAAATATTTTGACCTTCACGAAACTTCTTTTTTGGCTGAATAATTCCATAAGCCTTATTAGGAATACCATCTTTAAATAAGTAAATAAGTGTTAAAAATTGAAATAAAGCGAAGATTTGAAGTGAATAATAAGGTTTAAATTTTTAACCTGTAATATAAATATCATACTCATCATTGTTACATCCATAACTATTGCAAGCCGTGCATTTGATTGTTGACTTTTCTTGAGGTCTTATCACAACTGTTGACTCATTTTGGGCACTATAACTTCGTTCATTTGTTTTTATATCCCTTAAATACTTAAGTATATTTTGAATTACAATTTTTTCCATAGTTCAAAGTGTTATTTAGAATCATTAATATAAATTAACAAAGTTCTGCAGTTTACAATGAACAAACCTGTAACTCAGATGTTTTATCAATATATTGGAACTGGCTTAGCTTACTCATATAGCTCCATGATATATTGAATTCAACATTACTCTTGACAAGGCAAACAAACATCGCAGTCTGGTTAGAGCTATAGTATTTTTTTAAATAACTGGGATCAAACGTTACAGTTGGTTTATCTACAAACAAAAAAATGGTGTAAGCATCGTTAAAGAAAAAAAATAACAATAAAAGAAAAATGTATTAAAACAGAAATAATGTGGAATTGCATAATAAAAATTTAAAAAAAATAAGTCAAAACAAGCAAGACCCCAATTTTTCAAAATGTGGATTAGCTAACACCATTCGAACACGACCATTACTTTGCTAAATCTATTATTTGCCAAAGTGTTCCCTGAAGCAAATGCATAAGAATACGCTGTCATAACTAAATAAAGTGCAAGGCTAAATACAACGTACTGTACATTTATTGTTTCAGAATATTACCGTAGTTAAACAAATGAATGTTTTCTGATACACTATATATATATACGTATGTATATATATAGATATATATATATATATGTGTACTGATTTTTAAAAATTTTAATAATACTGACACAGTAATTCGTTACATGAAAATTTTTAATTACGTATTTTTATAAAAATTAACCTATACTAAAAATGATGGAAATTATAATAAGCATGTGATGTAATGCTATCAGCTTTTAGCTCTAAGATCCGAGACATTCTGAACAACTGGAAATTGAAATTTTTTAATGCAAATCATCTGTCTGGTTATTAAAGTTTTTTAATGATTCGTTGTTCAAAACGTGATAAGTACTTTATCGTCGAAAACATTTGGTGTACCAAGAACTTTAAGATGAAACGTTATGTTTCTTCGTCCTGCAATGCTTTCAGCCATTAGTGTATACATTCCATCATTAATCATTTTAATATCATCCATGTGTAAGCTACTTGTTGTTTGGTTGTAGGATATTAGCTTCAATGGATAAGTTATAAACATGAAATTTCCACCATAATTATCCACCCTGAAAATAAGTCAGTTTCTTAATAAAACACAGTACAGGTAAGTCACCTATCTATTTATTTTAATATCATTACCACTTTAAAATAGGTTTTGGACATGCAGAGACGTTAGCCACAAAAGTAACAGATTCACCACGTAATCTGTAAATTGTTTTCTCAACAGACGTCAGATTAATATAAGCACTGTTAGAATCTGTTAAAACAAATTATAAGAGCCCATCGATCATCACTGAAAAGTATACGAAAAATTGGTCCATGACCTACCATATACACAGATATCCACGTTTGAACTTCTCCTTTCGTGAAATGATGATTTTACTTGGCATTCATAATTCCCTGCGTCTCCAAATGTTATATTGTCAAAAATAAGCTCTGATGTTATTATATTAGTTTTTAATAACTTATTTCCAGCTTCTTTTATAATATTTGGAACCATCCTGGAAGTCTAATTAATGAACATGCTTGAGTATTTAAAAAATGTATTAAAAATGTTATATGCAAATATTTGTCGTTAATTGAAAGTTCAAACGTTATATAGATATGGTATTTTACCGAATTTTGCGGAATTTTCCAAAAAATGTCATAAGTGGCTTCTCTTCTGACTTTGATAAAACATTTGACACTTACTTTTGATCCTACCGTAATATCTTTCGAACTATTCATAGTTATTTTCGGTAAGCTTACACAATTATCATGTGTCATGAGCATAACCATTAATTTAATTGTGTACGATAAATGTTCTTGATTTACTGTACAGGTAAATACTCCCCTAAACCTTTCTTTCGTATCCCGCATAATGTAACCTATTTTGGGATCAAAAGTTGTCTTTTCATCAAGTTCAACTACCTAAGAAATTAAAAATATTTTAAAAGTTTACAGCACTCATTTTATACATGAATATATTGATAAGGTTATATTACATTTTGGTGTCTTTTTAAAGTAACTTTAAATTCAGGAGAAGTCGTCTGGCATGGTAAAATTATATTTCCAATACATCCAAAAGCATACAAATAATCCCATTCTTCATGTTCATGCACAAATGGATTTTTACTGGCTGCATAAAAAAAGTTACATTTTCGAATACATAATTTATGTAGTATGATGATATAAATTGAGCGCTTTATTTTCAAAAAATTAAGGAACTGGAAAATGTTATAACCTTACATTTAACGTAAACGTACATCCAAGTAACATGTGAATCATTGTGATCTTTGACCGTCATGCTTGTTATTTGTTTGCTTTCATCAGCACAACAATACCAGCCGGTGTCTCCAAAAACTGTTGATGATCTTATAAATGTCTTGTTGGTGCTTCTTCCGTCTGGTATTATGTCGGGTTGAGAGGTCGTCTTTTTTTAATTTAATAATCAGTAGTGATCATACTTTTGAATATTTTTTTTACAACTAATACAAATATACAGTATTTCAACTTACTCTACCCCGTGTATTGTTGGTGGGAAAATAAAAATTAACGTAGCCATTGCTTGTGCACGTAATGTTCAGAGTTTCTCCTTCATTTATCTCTAACTCGGTCACATTTGGATATAGCTGAGGCTTATATCCATGGCATCCTGTGAATTTTAAATTTAGTCTCATAACTCAAATAAAGATAGCTCTAGCATAGCTATCTCTATTAAAAATATTAATGCCTAAAATATGAAATAATTGTATGTTAATTAGTACTATGACAAAAGAAGGGGACTATTATTTTTATTTAGCTTAAACGTCTAAAATTGGACAAACAATTAGCTTTACCGTTAACTGAGATTTTACAATACTGTCTTACTAAGAGTCTTATTTTTATACTATGTTTGAAAGTGTCACGATTTATTAAAAATATATTTATAGATAATGAAAGCAATTTTAACCCTTGAAAAATTTTGCTCATCTATTATAAAATATTTTTAATTATCAATCTAGTAATTATATTATTTAATTTTAAATCAGACAAGTTAAAGAAAAATGCATCTAATTGACTCAACAAAAAAACAAGATATTATTTCTACTGTATATTAAAAAATAGATGTTATATTCAAGTTCTAAAAAAAAGTTGTCAATTGTAGTAAAAAAAAAAATTTTGTCCTTTTTATATCTGTTACATAGAAAATCAAATAACTATACAAAAAACAAACATGAGTATTTAAGTTAATTTATGTTTACATTTTTTTAATTAGCTTTGGAATAATTCTATGACCTAATAGCCATCAAGTTTTATTTTGTAAACTATTCGATAAACTTTTGTTTGCCACTTAATAGCAGAGTTTTTTAAAATATTTTGTAACCTGCTGAGGCATAATTTGCAAAAATTAATAGCAAATATAAGTATACGTTAAATAAAGAAGTGTAGCTTTTTATTTCTAACTTGATTACTAAAATATTACACTTGGAAAAACGTGTTGCACTGCCATGAAACAGTTGACTCTATGTGAAAGTTTATAATATATAATATAGTAGAGTATGGAAATGATAACAAAAAAACAGTCCTCAATTAATAAGATAAAGGCCATAAGATTTTTGTCACATTGATCCTTCTAAATCAAGGGCATTAATTATCTTTAATGCATATTGAGATTTTGGATGTATATAAGATTTCCTTAAAAGTTGCATTTTTCAAACAGATCAACCAATTGAAAATCGTATACTTCAAATAAGAAAGTATGTTCTTACTCTTAAAAATGTGTTGAATATACCGACACTCTGGACGAAGACTATGTCCAGTTTGGCCCTGGGCGAAAACTATGCCATTTCGACGTCCTGGGCGAAGATTATGCCAATTTTTTTAGTCCAGACAAAAACTATACCCTTTTTTCGGTCCTAGACAAAGACTATGGCCTTTTTTTCGAGCCTGGACTAAGATTATGCCCTTTTCTAGAGGTCGGAGGAAAACTATGACTTTTTGTTTAGTCTGGACAAAAACTATGCCCTTTTTTGGTCTCGGATGAAAACTATTCCTTTTTTTCTAGTCCAGACAAAAACTATGCCTTTTTTGTTGTCTGAACGAAACTATGTTATTTTTTTCGAGTCTGGGCTAAAAACAAACCCGTGTCTGGATGAAAACTAAGTTAAAAACATTTAAGTTTTATTTACTGACCCCTTTTGTATTGCACTTTCCCTAAAACTAAAAAAAAAATTCCTCAAGAGTTGCTGATTCATGCTTTCGGCGGCTAAAAGCCACTAGTACGCTGGAACGCCTGAAAGAAGCTCACAAAAACGAAGCTTCTGAAAACTGTTTAACATTTTATATTAAGTTTTTGCGATTATTGTATCCAAGTATCTACGGATGCCTTTGTAAAAAAAAACAACACGTATTTATTATTTTTAGTAGGTCTAGCGGCTTCAGTATGTAAAGTTTGAATAAGTGTTTGAAAAAAAAAGAGAATGAGCTTTTTTAAGATTCCGTTAAATGAATATTATGAAAAGTGAATGCAACAACATCTATATAAATATATTTGACTATATATCTAATTACAAACACAAATGTAGGGTGAGCGTAAATGAACTTCACCTCATCTGGGCTCCAGAAAAGGTCAACGTCTTAGTTTAGACTCAGAGAAAATGGAATAATCTACACCCGGCTAGAAAAAAGGGCATAGTCTTTGTCCGGAGCGTCGATACATTGTTAAACATCTGAGAAATTAATTGTACAAGCTTAAATAAAATTCATCTTAGATTTTAAAACCATACAGATTTTTTGTACAGTGAATTTTTCCTACAAAGCTATCTTAAATTTAAAAGCCAGAAAAAATGTTTGAAACTGCTAAATAATGATTTCAGTGCTGCTAACTTCGTAGTTCATATTTGAGGAACATAAATTAAACTATATGAAATAATGATTTAAAATTTTTTGTATGTATGAAACACTCTCTGCTTTGCAAACGTATCTGTCAAAACGTCTTTTTTCTCTAGATAAGAGATTTTTAGCATTTTTTAAATCATTCCCATTTTTGTCATAATTAACAAATTAACAAAAAATTACTAGTGTAACCATACACTCTGATAGAAAAAAATAAAATTAAGGTATCGCAACATTAGGATAATCATTTTGAGTCTCCTGATAACAAAAGTTTAATATTACCAGTAGGTTCAAAAGTACTAGTAAATGAATCCTTTTTGTACAAAATCTTGGTAGTTATTGCTGTCTACGAGTTAACTATAAATGAATGATACAATAAGAAATACACATTCTGTCGGTTTTTTGTAACTTTAGTATAACAAACGTCCCATAAAAGTACAAATGATATGAGTATAAACATTTTTTAATTAATTTAATAAATAATGCCTATGTATTGTTTACGCTCTTTAGAGTTGAAACAATATCAGAAAACACTTTTTAAAGAACTGATATTAAAAAAATTGCTGCTTCATTTAACTAATTTTACCAACAAGAAATTTAACTACAGATTTAAGGGTGACGTTGTGGGTGAATGACATGCATTTTAAGATGAATCTATCTAGTGCATAGATAGTTCATTTGGTGTTTAATACATTAAATTTCTGATTTGATAGCCAATACATTAATTTGGTTGAAATTTCAGCAGCCCATGATGATGCAAATAATCAACATTCTTTGCAGAAAACAAAAAACAGGGTTTTTAACATTCTTTGCAAGTTGTGCACACGAGTTCTCGTCATATCTGGTGGAAAGTACGTTCATTATATAATATTAAGAATTTAACTGCGCTTCAGCTTATAGGTCTATGCAGCTAAGTTTCACTTTCGTCCTACACTTCAGTGCCGTCTTTGAAGATGATGAAGACTCCTGAAGCTTTGAGTTACTAAGTTGTTCTTTTCAGGGACAGGCATCAAAACATAAACAACTTTTTTTTTATGCACACATGTCAACGTACACATTACCTTGCTAGCCGATTAGACATTCAGTTTTTACTAAGATCATTAGTTTAATTTGATTACTTGTCCCTTTTTTTTCTATCTAAGTATCTGGTTCGTGTTTTATGTACTGCACTTTTTTGATTTCAGTGGAGTGAGTGCTTATGGATCCATTTGTTATTATTTTATAAACTGACCTTAACATCAAGTTATTGTATGATGAGTATAAAAATGAAGAGAAAAATTTTTCGGAACTTTGATGAAGAAGTGATATCTATTATAAATTGTGTTTTTTACAGAAATATTATCAAGAACTTTTATTATTCTTATTACGGTAAAGATTCTGAAAGATAATAATAAACGTTTAAATTATTTTAAATGCAAAAATAAACAACTATATGTATGTTTTTGTTAAGTAAATAAAAAATGTATGATGAAAAGTAGAGGTGTAGTTGTTCCATAGGCTGTATTGTCTATCACAAATATTAAGGTTTTGGCATTAATATTGATACTGAAAGTATGTACTATCGACTGAGGGAAAATAAAAAATATATTATTTCAGTTTCTGACAATAAGTCATGGGATCTTTTTTTAATAGGTTGAATAAAGTAAAGTGTAACTCATCACTTATTTTGTAAGATTAAGAATAATTCAAATTTAAAAGACAGGATACAGGAAAACATGATCTTCTGAATTTTCAATAAATCTATGTTGAAAGTATTAAACTATTCTTTTTTTGGTAGTAAAAATATAATAATAAGCATAAAGGTCTATGAGAAATATCAAATATTAATACTTCAAGTTTGTGAAGAAATTGTCGAGTACATGTCCCATTTCCAAAAAATGTTTTGTAACGTAGTAGGTATTCTGGTTTCATCAATTCTTACACAAAATTAATTTTTTTAAACAGTACTGTGCCACAAAGACATTATTAAATAATGAAACTATGGAAGATTTGGAGTTTGTGGATTCATGATCAATAAGTATTTTAAAAGACAGACTTTGTTGTGTTCACATGAAAAATATGCAGAAAAGTATGTTTTTTTCTATGTACGTGAAAGTTTCATAAACTACTAACATGTTGTAATTAGCTGTGAAATTAAATTGTCATAACAAGTATTCTGTTCGATAGTAACGTTATTTTTTCACATCAATTGATTTAAATTTCGTATTTCGTGATAAGATTCTACGTCATTAAAAAATATGTTATTTTAAATAATTATTTTTAAACTGGGCATAATTGATATTACATTACGAAATTTTCGGTCTTCAAAACTTTTTGTACTCAAATCATCATTAGTCAACCAAAATTATCAAGATAAGAATCGAACTTAAAGATAATTATTCGTTAATGACTTTTTAAGTGTAACCATTTTATGCACAGTTAATTGATTAATTTCAAACAGAAAAATGCTATTAAACATAAAATGCATTAAAACAGTCTATCTACTAAATTACTAGCTTAACAAAATATTTTTTTAATGGCACTTATAGCATAGTCCTTTTTTATCATTACATATGCTTGCTTGAAAAAATAAAATGTATAAAAATGTACAACTTTTTTATTCGGATTAAAAAAATTAATGGACAAGTTAAATTTTCATCGGCTACGATTTCCTTTCGTCGTAGTTTTTGTTCCGTTTCAATGCAAGCCAGTGAAAATTTTCCAGAAAAGCTAGTCTCTAGTTATTAAAGGTATTCGATTTCTCAATAATTTGAGGTAGCTTCAAGGTGTAGTATTATATAGAGTTGGGGCACTGCTCTACATAGTAAAATTTCAGATTCAACTTATCTGGAATTACATTAATTTTTATTATATTATCAATAAAAATGTGTACGCCCATATAACCTCTACTTGCGAAACGCNCTCTTACTGTACGCCAGCACTTTCTCGACACCTATAGTTACGTTAGGCTATGTAGTCGTATAGCGAGAAAAATAGATCGTAGATCAAGACTAAAAAAGCCTGAACTGGACACCAGTGTAAACTCTAATTGTTGCAATAACAGTAAAAAATTTCAGATTCAACTTATCTGGAATTACATTAATTTTTATTATATTATCAATAAAAATGTGTACGCCCATATAACCTCTACTTGCGAAACGCTTATTTGGTTTAATGAACAAACAAATTAAAACTTTAGATGGTTGTAATTCTAAAGACGAAGTAAGGAAATTAAGTTGAACCACCACGTGGCCTTAGGCAGTAAAGGGTCTACATTTTCTCAAGAGTAATTGAAATAGTTCGATAATCTAGAAGTTATATATTTAAGAAAATTAGTAACCTTTTATTTAATCGTTTAGTAATTTTTATACTTTGTGTTTCAATTATTCACCTGCTGCTAGGTGAGCTGCAAAAATTAAGAGTTGGTAAAAAGACACGTTATATTTAAAGATTTTTGCTGTTGCACAACAAAAACCGCCTTTAAAAAGCGCTTATGTGAAACTGCTTATAAAAAAGGATTAAAAATTAAATGAGAGTTGAACAGACAGTACTGACAATACAAAATATGAGAAAAAAATTTCTTAGAGTTAGTGCTTTCTGCGACCAAAGCATCGATTTAATGACTGCGAAAACTATCAATTAAAAGTTTACTGCACTGAACTACCCTACATTTAAATGTGGAATTATCCACTAGATACACCTTGGGTATACATTAATGCTTACTTTTTTTTCAACTACTAGATATTCTTATATGTTTGATTTATTATTTACAGCGTTGTTTTTCAAATTTTAAAAGTCTTTACAAATTTGACTTTCAAGAATATGAAATAAAAAGAAATAAAAACTACGGTAAACTATGAAACCAAAAACCATAAATCATGTAGGCGTAGAAAGAGCAGATAAAAGGCAAGAAAGAGTCTGTACGTATAATATCATAAATTTTTAAAATAACTTTTTGAATTAACAAATAAGCCAAATAAAACTAAAAATCGTAGCACTCGCTTTGTCAAAGATCTCTTACTGTACGCCAGCACTTTCTCGACACCTATAGTTACGTTAGGCTATGTAGTCGTATAGCGAGAAAAATAGATCGTAGATCAAGACTAAAAAAGCCTGAACTGGACACCAGTGTAAACTCTAATTGTTGCAATAACAGTAAAAAATTTCAGATTCACTTCAAAATTGAGTTATTTACACAAATTGAGAGTTAGTTAAGCATTAATCTCACTTTTATATTACGATATAATATATTTTTTTATATACATGCCTAAAACTGCAGCAAGAAAAATAATTAGTTTAGCCCACTGAAAAAAAGGCAGCGGATCCTTTCTTTCTCCAGCTCTCGACATTGTCGTGTGCAAGGTGCGTCGAGTCGTTAAAATAGTGGATTGATGCAGGTGATGTCTTAAAATTAATCAACTTGTAGATGTGTCGCTTTTCAAGTAGAGCTTTTGTGACTTGTTGCAGTGGCCAAACATAAAATGGGGAAGCCTTACGCTTATTAGGCAGAGATAGAAGATGACTATGCTTTGTTACTCAATGTTCATAGCTGTATCATTGTGATTTGTTGAACAGCAATTAAGCTATACTTCATGCCTATTGGTAGACAGAACTTCCGATTTACCTGATATTTACATATCTTTGTCATACTTTAATACTCCTATGCAGCCATACTTCCGTGTTAGTATGTTGCTAAGCTATACCTTTTGTTAACTTGGATCCTAAATTATTGTTTATTTAATGGCAGTTATAATAATTATCAAGTATTTTAATTTACATTTCATACTATTTAATGAATGGGTAAAGAAGAAAATATTCCTGATTTTTCGCGGGTGACTGTTTAAGGACGTTTGGTAGAGATATAGCGGGGGGGGGGGGAAACATGCGGGGCAAGGAGAATCCAGCGATGAGTGAAGAGTTGACAACAACGCCGTACGGGTCTTCAATGTATGAGTGTTTATGTACACGCATCAGGTGTCCACAAAAATTAATTATTTACTATAAGCTGGTCTTTGTAAGGGTTCCGCTCGTTTGCTGCGTCAGTTGCGACAGTCTTATACGTGTATGTTCAATGTTTTTGTGATGAAGCAGTAAGTATTTCACTTTGATTCGTTATAAAAATGTAATGAAAATGAATAAATAAGTAATTAAAAAGACTTGTGACCGTTGTATTTATATTCGTAGATTTCATTCGTAAAAAGGCCCAAAACCAAAAACGGTATAACCTCCAAACTACGACAAATGAGAAAGGAACAGAAATAATCATAAATTTGAAATTTTATAAGAAAAATAAACAACGTGCTACACACATGTAAGCTGGTATTTTATACGAAAATGCATTAATATTCACGATAATATTGAAATATTTACTGATTGCCGTCCCAGAGCATTTTGAATTTCCTGCCACTTGCAACGTTGCCATTGCGTTTTTATCGAACTTTTATTTATTTTTTCATACATTAACGAATCAGACGATCGTCACGAAACTTGGTATGCATTTAACTCATAACATTATCTGTGACAAATGAAAAAAATTGGCGAAATTTACTGGGCCAATTTGCTTAAAACTGAGTTTTAAACAGTTTTCCCATAAGCGACTGTGTTATAATGACTGAGCTTTAAGATTTAATATCTCGAAAACAAAACAGACGATCCTCTTGAAATTTTGACAGGTTTATTGAAACAACAACGAGAACTTATGGTCAAAATTTCAGAAAAATTCACTGGAACATTCTATCTCTACCGAACGTCCTTAATTTCTGCTATTTAAAATTTTGATTCGCAAAAATTGGTTTTTTAACTATAGCTCTTAATCTAGAGTCTTCTTAAACACATTAAATGTAACAAATATAGCTGTTAAAAAAAAAAAAACTACAAAATACCGTAAGAATATTTTTAATTTGGATAATTTATTTATCTGTTAAGTTAAAGAAAAAAACCTTAACGTAAGACTATTTTTCAATTATTAATCAGCAATAACCTTTGTATCCTAATGTTTCCAATCCAAGCGTAAAGTGTGTATCTTCACAGTGCTAAAAAACGCTACAAATTTCTAGTTTATCGCTTTAATAGTTTTCACGAATAGTCGTAATTATTTATTAAAGTATTCTCTTTATTGATAAGCGGTCATTTTTTTTGGCATCTCGGAATGATTTAAAGGGGCTTATCTTCTTTTAGAGTTTCTATTGTTAAGGAGGTTTGGGAGAAAAGTTCAAAATGGAGAAACGCGCCAAAAAAATTGTATCTTGTATTTGAGCATATGGATTTTTTAGATTTTTCACCAGGGGAAATTTTTGAGAGAGTAAGGTTAGGTTTGCCTTTCCATTGAAATTGAGGTATATTCTAAATGTGTTGGAATAAAAAAAAATGTTTTCATAGATAACTTGGTACAAAACGAAGATGATCGACAAAAAAAATCAAGCTTTGACTTTTCCTCGCCTCTCTAAATAAAATTCCCAAACCTCCTTAAGTATGATTTGCACCTTACAGATTTTTGCAAATTAATCTGTTTAAAAACGCCTTTGAAAAAGAGTTACGTTTGAACATTACAAATAACTGTGAAAAAAAAATACTTCCGCTTGTTCACGTATCATTACAGTATCACGTATTACTACGATATCTTACAGTCAATTTGCGGTCATAATAAAATCGTATGTTTCCTTGTAAGGTCTTGGTAATTAAATCACAAAGATGTCACTTGCAGGTAAGTTAATATTCAATCAAGTTTATTACAACAATTCATATACATACAGATAATTTATACAATTTATAGATACATAAATCAGCCAGATGTAGAAAGTGCTAGCTTATAGCTTTTGCTTTACAAGCTTAGATTCGCAAAATAATTGGTAGCTACACTTGTACATGGCAAAATTGCTATTTCTGTAACAACGGCTGTTACTAGTTCTGCTGGTGTTACATCATACGTTATATTGAGTAGATTGAGCGTCTTTCTGCTGGTCCAATTAGATAAACACGATTTTTTCGAATCGCTAAACGTATTTTTTACGAGTTTATCCGAATCGCCTATTGAACATGACAAAGAATATTTTGATTAGAAATCATTTCATGACAGGACATTAATGCCCAATGATTGGTAAAAAAAAAACCAAACAAGTATTTTATGAGAAAAAAATTCAGATTCGAGCGTGTAACGTACCTATTTCATTGAAGACAATCGAGTCCGTTTGGACGCGTTTGCAAGATTTGTGTGTTTCACAAGCCACGAGAACAGGAACGTTAAAAGCGTTAGCCATTAGGGCTACTTCCGCAGTTCCAACTCGCGATATAACAGCACCGTTTGCTAGAATTGCGTGAGCTCCTAGAAACACCTTACTCACCTAAAAATTTGATGATTATTTTAACAATGAGTGAAATGAACCAATTGTGCACAATAATAACATCCCATAATTTTAAGCCGATACAATTTGTGAGATAATTGTTACTGTGACAGAAGGGATCACTATTGTGTTGAAATGGCACTCACTGACTGTTAATGCATGTGAATTAAAATTCGATCGAGTTCTCAATTGTTATTGTTGGTAAATCTCTTAACCCAGTTATTTTTCAATAAAAATGTTATGAGTTTTTGAAAATACGTATTATAATTTTAATAGCATAGCATTAGAGTACAATGTATTCTCAAGAGCTGCAGAAAGTTTCAGATCAAGTTGCAGTGCTCATGAAGTTGCATTAAAACTTCATGAATTTTTTTTTCTTGAATACTATAAACGCGATCTTGTACAAACTTATCTCGTGAATAAATGATCAGGTCTATTTGCAACAGATGTTTGTAATGTAACTAAATACGTAATTATTGATTATTAACAAATATTTATTAATCATCAATGTGCAGTCTTTAATCGTTAGTAATTAATTATTTATCGACTACAAGACATCATTTTTATCGGTGGATGATTTATAGTAAACAACTGAAGAAAAAGAGACTTAACTATACTTATAACTTTCATCAGCTTAATTCAATGAATATAACAATGTATTTATGAGCAAAAAGTATCTGTGAAAAGCGACTTCATTCCAAATTACTTTCTTTCTTGAGTAAAAAAATAAAAAAGAAAAAATTAGAAAACTGGAGTCATTCATATAATATTGTAATTGAGCTTATTTTAATTAAAATATTTTTGCAATATAGTTCAATCCTACATGTATTATCTCGGGCACTTGAGAAATCATAATTGTGTGAAACATTTTAAAAAGTCAATGAAATAAAAATTATTATCAACGTTACCTGTGGCATAATGAAACTAAGTGCGTTGATCAACACATATGAACAGTCAATTCCATGTTTGACTAGTCGTCTAAGGAGCTCTTTACCTTCTAGCCAAGGCCTCCCATCAACTACAATCACTCTGAATTGTTTTTTAGAGTCATGAGCATCACAAAGACTTTTGTGAATCACAGAAGAACTGGGTAATAGTTTTTTTTTTTTTTCAATTAAATCAGTTCTGCACATGTTAACAAACGAGTGATTTACAATGACAGTTACTTACAATCCATAAGTTAATATAACATCTCCATTGAAAATTTTCTTTTGAATTGCTTTGGCTATTGCCTTGTCCGCAAGATCAATTTGTTGTTCAATGTAAGTATCAATTACATCTGCTAACTTGAGTTTTGCCTGTAAGTTGAATGGAATCATTTCTTATTCTTTAGAAAAGACATTGCAATATTTGTGTAAAAAGTAGGTGGAAGCAAGGATAGGTTGGAGTAAGAAATAAGAGCATTAGAAATGAAAACTAACTTCTTTGTCGGATATGGTTGCAGGAAACGTGCACATTTTTCTTTGCAAGTGTTTCAAAGCATTTTCCATTGAAACTGAGAAAGGTCTACAAAAATCAAGATACTTTTTCGCTTCTACCAAGCTAGCTTCTAATTCTCTTGTAAAATCAGCTTGCAAAGGGCATTCGAAGTCATTAGTAAGCTGCTTTAGAGCAGCAAGTAGTGCGACACATCTTGCATTACTACCAACAATCACTTTTTCAGCGTACTGTACACCTAATCTGATTATTGCTGGATGAATGTTATTATAACTAGAGTTAAGTAGTCGTGCAATGTTATTCCTGTCAATGTATAAATGTTTGAATAAATCAACAGCATTTGAGTTATCTTTTCCTGCACTTAAGGTAACAGTTTTCTTTGTTCCGGCTTCTTTTTTGACTATCGTGACAGCTTTGTCGTCTTTTTTTTCACACACAGGTTTTTTTATCTTATCAGCTGGCACAGCAGCTTTGGCAGCTCTCTGAGCTTCTTGCACAGCTCTTCTCTCTTCTTTTAACTGTTTTTTACTTTTTTCTAAAATTTACATTAAATTTACTTTCCATGACTAACTTGAAAGTTTGAGGGCTTCAAATTTTATATTCTTCATTTGCTAAGCTTAATCAATTTATATGATGGCAAATATATGAACATAAACTATATTGGGCAGCAACAAATATTTAAAAAATATATAATATTCATGGATTTGATAAAATAGTGATGGAAAAAATGTCAGATAAAACGTCTTTATATTTGATCCTTAGCAGTGTACTTTAAAAATATTTCTGTTTATTGAATATGTATACGTTGCTACAAACTTATTTGCCATTTTGTTTACTTTGACCTTAAAAGTTTTATCTGGCATTTTTTTTGTAATAGTAAAACCTATAATCAGCTTAAACATCAAGATAGTTACCAGAACTGTTTTGTGTAACCACATTAACTTTATGGACAGCTGGTTTTTGTTGCACTTCACTCTGTTGGACATTGCTTGGTTGCACTGCTGGTTGACTTGTCTCCCCTTTATCCTTAACATTTTTTTTGCCCTTGGCCAATGCCTTGGCTAATTTTTTTGCTTCTCGCTCTGATTTAATTTGGTCTCTAGATTTTTCTTGAGCATCCATTTCTACAGTCAATTTATCAACAGTACAGGAAAAAGAGGAATTGCTGATACGTCAGAATTTGAACTTTTACAAGTTTTTTTGGCTTGTTTCTATTTCGTCAACTGTATGATATTTCTGTTCAGCTTGAAATAAACAATCTACAATTAGTGTCCAGGCCTCCAGAGTACTCACAGCATTAACAGTTGTATTGCATCATGGAGGTTAATTTTCATGAATTTTGACAGTTAAACATAATCACCTGTTTTTTATAAACTCTTGGATCATTTGCTCTAATGAATAACAAGCACTTCTTGATTAACACTAAAACTTGGGTACATTCGGTCAACAAAATTTATTAAACCTTTTTATTTAGAACTTTTTCTATTTTAATTGCAATGCATTGCACATGTAAAGTATGTAAACATGTATACATATATGTTTGTGTGTAAGGAGACATTTTATGGGTTATGTAGCTAGTGACTATCAGTGCATCCAACGATCCAACCTGCATACCTACTATATTTTTCTAGGGATAGGTGTCGCTGTTGAGTTGGATAAGTTGGCTATGACGAGTTCATCAGTATTTGAATAAATGCAAAAAATTTAATCGAGGTGATACTTATCCTACGGTAGTAACGGTAGGACAGGTTTTAGTAAGTATGCGTTATTGCCGCAGGATGCTTTTTCAAATTATAAAATGGCACTAAATTGGCGCTCTTTTTTTTGAACGAGTCAAATAAGACAGGTTTTAATTTTAACTTTGGCCACTTTATTTGTTTTTGTATTGGCTATTCGGCGCTAGTAGTCGCATCTCACGATCTCACCTCGAATACCTGCCTCTACAGGCCCCGTCAACCCTATAATTATCTTTAGAGAAAAAAAGTTGCCATAGGCGGAAAAATTGGGACCTATCTACTACTCGAAAATCGACTTTGAAGTGAATACACCTCTCACAAAAAAAGACTAGCCGCCACTTTGTTACTCATTTAAAAAAATATCTTTGATCTAGATCCCGAGTGGTGATAATTTTGGGACTTAACAAAAGCGAGAATTTGAGCCAATTTTGTCCACGTTATGAGAATGAAAGTATACCTATTCAATTTAAAGCCGATTGTCGGGTAGTAGATATGAGTCCTTATTTGGCCGCCAATGATAACTTATTCTCTATCTATTGGGCCCAATGGTAGATAAAAAATTTTGGCATTTGGAAATTTTCAGATACAGAATGTAGCTTGTCATAGCAACATCTCAGAAACACTGTAATCTCTCCAAATCATAAGGTTTTCTCAACTTTTATAAGAATGGCGGCAGGTGTTAATTTTTTGCTTCATCTGTACTCAAGTTCTTGGTCTAAAACGTAAAGTATCACGCAGACCAAAGAATTGGAGTGCTCTAAATAGTTGCAAGTCCCAAACAGAAACAATGGATATAACAGCTCCATTATAAGTTAGCTGTTACGTTTGACTCCAGCTGTTCAAGTTCCAGTGATTCAGAAGAAAATTAATTGTTTTTTAGCAGTGGCGATTGAAAGATCTTCAATTCTTTAGTCTGAACATTTGTTTACGTTTGGCAAAATGTGACAAATGCTTTTTTTTTACATCTGGTGGAATTGCCGATTACTACAGCAACAGCCCGAGACCCAAATGGAAATTGAAATTGGGTGAAAAGTTAGGCCAAACTAGGTTACTGCCTACCTTGGCCGCGGACTTGGGATCTGACTCTTTGGGCCTCCGGTGGGTTTCGCCCAGTGATCACCAACTTTTGTGTGCAAATAAGCATATGATACTTTGCTATGTATATTTTTTTTAGTTGGGGCCACTAATTAAAAGTTACAGCAGTTGAAATAAGAGCTGTAAAAATCGGTAACTATGAGGTCTTGTTAATATTTGCTGAAAAAACGTTATTTCTCTTTAAACCACTATAGCTTTCAATTGGTGATACAAAACTGTTTTTACTTCAGATGACTCAATCCCACCATCCATATAAAAAATAAACTATATAGTTGAGTGCTCTCCAATTGGGGCGAAAAATAAGACGGGCCTTGAAGAGAAAATCTATTTTTTATTTTTTTATTTTTCCACGTTCAACGATGTAATTGGATAAAAGCCTTTTATTAATATGTTTTTGAGGAGATAACGATACTTAATACATAAGCTTTTTTTCCCCTAACCCAATCGGTTCTGTAACATTTTCCTTTGAACGTGCATAACGCACATTTAACACGTTGGATAGGGTGGGGTCATCAGGGCTTTTCTTAATATCTTTTTATAAATTTATCCAATTATAAAAAAAATTTTTGTTTAAAGTCCTGGCCCTAAAGCATTTTTTACATTCAAATATAGCAATGAGAATCTATAGTTTTCCAATAAAAACAAGTTAAAGTGTACTATCACCTTGTAGTCGAAAAAAAATAGTTTTTATACCAGTTTTATCACATGAGCAATACTTATTTCAAGAATCTAAAAACTTTTACTTTGATGTGTAAAACAAAAAACGTAATATAATGGCTTGATATTTATTAAAAATTTTGATAAGAATTTTAACAAATTGTTTCAGAATTGATGATTATAAAAAATGGGCAATCGGAATGGTTTTCATGGGGCAATCAAAATGGTTTGTAACGTTTTTTTGTCTGCTCTAACCTAAAAATAAAAAAAAATAAAAAATACAGTCGTGATAAAACATAACTTACTTCCTACTTATAAAAATTGCGTCTGTATTATTTATTTACCAAACTATTTTTAACTCAGAAATTAAAAAAGTAATGCGTTTTTTTATTTTTTGTCCAGTGGTTTACTTGTATACTATAGTTAATAAATCCAATGATACTGTGTAGAACCGTGGTAGAGCAGGCTTTAGGCCGAGAGCTGTGAATGTTCGTCCTTTCATATATGTTGGTGTCGCTTGAACTTGGGATAGCACAATAATCGGACTGCACCAAGTGAAAGACAAGTACTATGTCAGCTTGGAGACGTTTAAACTCTTGCAGTCTTAAGGTGGTTCATGCACGACTCCCGAGTCAAATGTGCAACTGAAAAGATAATTTTTATTGAAGCTGTCAATATTTATAAGTATGTTATTGAATATTCTTCATTGAATGAAATAAAGCATCCATGTCACATTATAGATCACAATATCCAATGTTAAGGCTTCTAAAAACGATTTTATGGTATAATTTTTGACCTATCATTACAAAAAGAACAACTTCTAGTTTATTACTCTAGTTTTTGATCATCCTGTCCCAGTTCTACGAAAAGTAATCGCATGACATACGGTGACGATTTCCGAACGTCTCGTTCTCGTGATTTTATACTATAAGCCTATCTGAAATTTTGCAGAGAGGTATATAAAAAGTTTGTAAGAAACCTCTCCAAGTCTTATTTTGATCGCCCAGTTTTTAATTTTCGCAGGAACCACCTTAATACGTACGAGAGCTGTAGTAGGCCAAAAAATGTCAGTGTACCGATGATATCGAACCTCTTCGGATTGTTGTCAAGGCCTATTGTCCGATGCACGACTTTTTGACTTAATTTTGGGCCAATTTGCACACTTCACTGTACAGCGAGGATTATTGAATTTAACAATCACATCGGCATTGGACATTAGTTTGTTTTCTATGTAGTTTTCAAATAACTAACCCCCCCCCCCCTCCTCTTCTACTCCAAAGTAAACAGGGATAGTAGCAGCTCTTATCTAATCGCTCAACATTGTCGTGGCTTTTATATATATTACTGCAGGTAATCTCTGCTGCTGGCGGCCATTGCCGACTACACTTAGTACAACAAAGGATAGGTAAGATATTACTACTTTTTTTCTTGACAAATACGTATTAAATCTTTTTTTTATGCTTGATACTGTATTTGTTAAGTTTTGTTTGATTATCATAGATTCACAAGCCAATCTAGAGATCCAATACGCAAAAGTTTTGCGTACGCAAAAACGCACATCATACACGTGGAACTTCATACTCAAAATATACTCCACCTACTTCCGCACAATTTATGTACACAAAAAGTTGCTCAGAGGAGCTTTTTAGCACATGCATAAAATTTTAAATATCAAAGCTTTTTGCTTGTGCATACATGAAAGAAGTTATTCCTGGGCAAAAATTTTCACGCACCTCAAAGCTCTTTATACAGGTTATGTACATCATGTAGTAACCGAATAAATACGTTTGTGTGTGTGCGTTGGGTGTATTGTTACTACTTATGTATGCCAATGCGAGTTTTTACTTAATGAGATTTAAATAACAATAGGTAAGGGTAACTACACACGCACGTATTCACATAATATGTAAGCTGTACGAAAGACCTTAACGCATGCAAAAGTTATTGCTCGTCACTGGTTACCCAAGCAAAAATTAAACTAGTAAAAAAGTTCAATAATTATTTACTAACTTAATTATTTTATCTACAATATAGTTAGAATCATAACTAGTTATAATTACATGTATTTTAAAAAATAAGTATCATTATTAATGATAAAAACCCACACGTTTCTCGTTTTTATTAATTATTAGTTGTTTTACTTTATTTTCACCATAAGTGACATATCGGAAGATTAAAAAAATTAATAAATAAATATTGATAATTATTAAAAATTATAAATGCCTAAAATTTATATATGGTGTGAAAGGAGGCGGAGCATCTTTTGGGCAATTAGTTTCTCTTATAAATTTACTATATGCTACTACAGTATATGGTACTTGTATTTCACATAAACTTAAATTTATGTATTGGATTTTGATCTTAACTGGGTGGCTATAGACCAAAATTTGTGTGTACTTCGTTATGATTACTGTAACTGTTTTGAGTTTTAAGACATTTTCGTAAATGATTCTGCAATTCGACATGTGAAAGGATAGTTCAAGTATACTATGTGTGTTTTTTTTTTTTTTTGAGTGGTATAAAGAGGATGATTTTTTTTATGTTTTGCCGATAGCTTATTAATAGCTACATATAACAAGGACTTTGTACAGAAAAAAGCTGTTATTTGAGATATTTTTTCTAAAACTGTTTCTTCAATTGGTCATATCAAGCAACAACTTTAGTGTACTATATATGTATTTTTCGTTCTTGTAATTTTAAGTGTATTTTATAACGTGACTTCAACGGTCAGAAACGTCAGTTTTCAATAAAAGATTTTGAACTTATTTCCGAAAAAGGCTTTTGTTTTGAATTCAAATATAAAAGTGAACCTGTGACTTTAGGGAAAGTAGTATTTTTTTTTCAACTCTGTTGTGCTGACTTTGCCTAACGTAGTGTTCGTGGCCTAAAGGGCACCGTAAGGTTAACCATTGAGGTGGGGATACGAAGGAGATTGGATTATTTATTTGTTCTTGAGCATTCGACGGATTGTTTCCGGGGTGGCTATCGATATAAAAAAAAGGAACTTAAATTGTAAAGATGGTACCG